TGTTTGAGCAGCGTTATATGATTTGTGTCAAACGTGATTAGTTTAAATTTGTTTGTAGTGAATTAAAGCACTCCGTTACCTTTTAAGGAACAAAAAAACTGTAATATGTGTTTGTGTTCGTGTTCGTTTTAACAAAGTCGTGGAATATGGGTAGAAATAGGATATAAAGGCACAGGTCTTTAGCCGTCTCGTAGTGCTGAAACGATTAGTGGACAATGTCGACAATTTAAATAAAAAAATATCTGTTGACATTTTTTTTTTTATGTAAAGGCCTAATGTAACGTAACTAATATAAGTATCGGTAATAACGAGGTTTGACCATTGGGGCGCTGTACGTAGCGCAAAACTGTATTGCAGTCTTTCCGGATACAATAGATGAAGACGCGCGCGCTGATTTAGAGTGCAGGAGGAGGAGAGTGTGAAAGTTTACACGGAGACGAAAATGGTATCATTTCTCAAAGGTTCGCGTTTTGTCTTGTAAATGAGGGGTTATAACAGATAAAAAGTTTCCCCATTTCGATGTAATTTGTGTCTTTGCTGTTTTCATTTTATGAAAGTTTTGATGTTTTTTTTTATTTTTTACACAATCTTGTTTCAAATTGAGTCTAACTGTGTTTGTAGCAAACCAGTAAGACGTGTTTCTTCCTCTACAAGCCAGGAGTTCAGATACTTCATCACAATGATTGTCAAAGCACAATTTCGGAATCAGAAGAAATTCGTAAAAATCTCAGAGGCGTGCTTTGATTTATTTCTAGCAGAGGGTGAGTGATATGTAATATCTTAATAATTAAATCTATATGTTTTTATAGCCTTATGTCAAATTATGAATAAAACTTGGACTAAAATTGGTAAATATTTTGTTTTGCAGTGAAAGAGAAGAAAGAGAAGTCAGACAACCTTGCAGTTACAGTTACAGATGAAACTGGTACAGAGGTGGATAAAGACGTGTAAGACGTGTTAATGACCACCAGTGGGTTGGTTTTCGTCATAAATGAATTGACTGACATTGGTGAGTGAAAACAGAGGAGTTGCTGAATGATGTCATCTGTATTCCAATTTGTGAATGAATGCTGGTAGTGTTTAATATGTTCAGTATTTTAAATATTGTAGGTAGTGTTGGTGTATTGTAGCAGATGTGTGGAAAAATGTATTTCTAAAAAAGTAAACAAATGGCAAGTTTCATATTCAATCTTTTTATTCCAACAACCAATGTCCTGGACTAAAAATTCTCAGAATTAGTTTTCTAAATGCAGTAATAACAAAGACTAACATGACATCTATTAACCCCAGTTTTAACCTTAACAGGATCTTCCACACCTCAATCTTCAGTCAGCTTAGATACAGATACACTGTCTCTAACTTCAAAAAGCAGTGAAGAGAGTGACTGGTTTAGTCCAAAACGATTCAGAAAGGATGATGATGATGAGGCGTCACAAAGATCACAGGCCAGAGATGTGAGTCCCAGTAGCCTTACACAGACACTGGGGGTTTTACTAATCATAATGTTCAGTTTCATTAATGTTTTTTTTTTAATCCCCATGTATAATGCTGATCTTTTTCAGATCAGGGTCATATTTAAGGGTAATTTAGGTATTACTGCATTATCTTCTCTCATAGTAGTATCTGTTAATATTCCTCTTTTTATAGCTGATAAAACAAATTCTACAGACAAGACCAGGTGGAGGAAATGTGCTTAAGGAGTATGAAGATACAGGGACAATTAGTGATGACACGAGGAAAGTGATGGTGAACATCTTAGTTGCACACATGATGGAGACAGAAGGGTAATTATAAA